GAGAGAGAGAGAGAGAGAGCATAGAGAGGAGCAATAGGAGAAGATCGCTACGCCTCTCGACTATTTCTGTCGCCTTTATCATGGCTCTCTGCTCCTCCCTTCCTCTCTCTCTCCTTCCCTCCCCCAGCGCGAGCGGGTTAACCTTGTAGCTCGCCATTACGCCCTGTACCTCGCCGCCACCACCGCCACTCAATGGCCTCGGGGAGGCACTCAGGGCGCGGGGCGGGGCGGGCCCGGGGGTGGGGCCGGGGGCTGGGCCGGGGGCGGCGCGGCAGGGGTGCAGAGGGGCGGAGAGAGGGCATCGTGATAAATCTTGACAAATTGTCTTTGTGAATGGAGGCGCGGTAGACGGGGTGTGCGGGCAAACAATAATGGATGATTCTCGAGGCGGAGAGCGGCGGAGCAAGGCGAGGAGAGCGAGAGGGGCGAGTCGGGTCCACGGGGGTGAAAAAAATAGGACAAGAGGTACCGAACCGACATGCGGGGCGCTCTTTCGGGGAACAAGGAAAGAAAATATGTTGAAATACGGATCTCATTGGTCAAAACTATATACCTAAGTGGCAGCTTTCTCAAATTCACACGAACCCTGGATTTTACCACAAGAATTTGGAGCGCATATCACTGATGTACACACTCTCAACGAGTTGCGCAATAATTTGAACATACCTTAGCAAGGGCTAGATGTCTTTTAGTAAAAATAAATATCAGTCTATAATCAATACTCAAGACGTGCGGTTAGGATAGAGATGCACGCCCGTGCACACACACACAGCACATACGTAGAAATAAAATAAGGGAGTGAGAGGCGGAGACGGCAGCATAGGGTGGCGAGGCGGAGGGTTGAAGGAAGGGATGAAAATAGAAGAGAGAGGCGTGCACAAAATGGGAGCAGGGCATAAAGATTATTGAGAACAAGATTATGTAAAAAGGACAGGCCCGGCAGCAAGGGCGGTGCAGGGCCGCTAGCGACGCCTCTTCTCGGGGCGTGGCGGGTCGTGGCGGAGCGTGGCGGGGAGGAGCGTGGCAGGACGTGGCGAGGCGCCTCGCTGTTTGGAGAAGATTAGGAAATATTGCGGTGAGACGAAAGAACGAAATTAAATTATCACCATGAGTGATGCGCGGGGGCGGTGTGCCCGGAGGAACAAAAAGAAGAGAGGAGAGAGGGAGAGAGTTAACTGTGTGATGGAGGGGTAGGGGTAAGGGGTATGAAATAGTCGTAAAAGACGGGGAAGGGTAGAGGGCAAGAGGGGAGAGAAGAGGAGAGGGGGAGAGAGGGGGAGAGAGAGAGAGAGAGAGAGGGAGAGAGGAGAGAGAGAGAGAAAGAGAAAGAGAGAAAGAGGAAGGGGCAGAGAGAAAGAGAGGCGAAAGGGGAAGCAGCAAGAAAACGAAACCCGGGAGTTGAGTGGGGCACTGACGATTCCCTCAGCACTTCTCGTAGAGGGGGACGAAGGGCGCGGAGAGGGGGGGGGGAGAGCGAACGGTGTTATCAATCGGAAGTAACCTCTCTCCCGCGCGCCGCCGTCCGTCCCCCCTGTTTTCTTTCTCCCCCATGAGATACAGCCCCCGATCTGCTCCGAATTAGGATCGCAAAAGCTACGCCCTTCTCGCGCAGTCTGTCTGTGTGTGTGTGTGTGTGTGTGTGTGTGTGTGAGCGCGCGCTGCCCGATTTACAACACCGCGTCCACACATTCGCCACTCACTCCGCTTCCTAGCCCCACCATTAGCGGAGCACTCAATTGCACGGCCACCAATAGGTTTACACTGGACGGCACCAAAGTGTGAAGCAGGCAGCATAGCAGGGGAGGAGGTTAGTTGGTCAGCGGGGCGCGTCATGCAAGCATGTAAGGGAGGGCCGCAGTCATACTGGTAGAAAGAACTTCAATAAATAAAATGTTAAATTGGCACATGCAAGTAATCAACACTATGTTGCACACTTTTATGTCTTTGACTAGATATTTGAATACTATGAAGTGTTGAACAGTAAAGTTGAACACGTATAAGTGTTCAACACCAGAGTTGGCCATGAACCTTTGGACACTTTAAAGGGTTCAAATTTACTATTACTTTAAAGTATCGAAATATACAGTCGAACTCTTAAAAGTGCGCAACATAATGTTGAGTACGTGCACGCCAGTTGAACACTTAATTTATTTCTGATACGAAAAGACAACTGAGACTAGTGCTCGATTTAAAAAAAATAAAAATGAAAGTATGGATGAACATTAAAAAGAAAAAATACGACACGCAACTTTGGCCAGTAAATAGAATTTATCATGTCCTAATTTTCGCTAAATTTGCGACCTACAAATAAGTAGGGTAAGATGCCCTATGATGGCCACCTTAAGAATGGGCCTGACCAATGATGGCCACCCCTTTTAGCAGATGATACCTTAAATAGCTTTTGACTGAACATAAAGAATATATAAGTAACTTTAAGGTATCAGCTAGCTTGTACTCTCGATAAGGGAAGAAAACCAAAGCGCATGACGTCACCCAGATGTATAAGGGGCGCGAGAAGTCGCCAGCCCACCCCCCGCCCGTTCCCACCAACAATACCCAACAATTCTGAGCCACGGATGCCGGCCGGCCTGCCTGCTGCCCCCTATCTCTTCCTCTATGCCATGCCGCTAGTCCGTTGAATTGCAAGAAGGCAATTGCTAAAAGTAACAAACAGCCATAAACAATTAACAGCAAAATATGAGAGAAAATTAGGGCAAAGACATATCCTTAAATTTGTATCATCTGCTTTCACGATACGTCCCTCGACGTAGCTTTTTCTTGTAATGTAGACAACGATGTGAAGTAGTTTGGCTTATTATGCCCAAGTAGGGGCCTTACTAGAACACTACTTCAAGGCCAAGATTGTAAAGTGACCAGATTGGCTGGAAATCGAGAAAAGTGGCCATCAATGGAAAGTGGCCACATTAGGGCACCTTACCCTACATGAGACGGAGTAGAGAATTTTCCTGATACGACACGAGTACTTATTCTATTAGTGAACAGCCAGAAAGGTCGGTCATCGCTGTGTCAAATCCAGTGCCTAAACCCACGCATGCTCCCGCCCGCTCCACCGTGTTAGAGAGTTAATACCTGCACCGACACCACCACAACCAGGTTGGCAGGACTGACGCCCTGCTCATGCAGTCTGCTCATGCAGTCTGCGCTACCAACCTTGATGGGATCGGCCAGGACCGGGACGGGCGGAGCATCGCTGGGGTGCTCACTCACCTGCAACACACAAAGAGGGGCACAATTAAGAGACGAATCATTGCGAACGACACGGGCGACACGGCCATATTAATGACGGAATGTAATGCAACTGCAACACATTCGTAAACAAAACGGACACGACACGCAGAAACAAACAAACAACAGCCAAAAAAAAGACGCGCCCAAAAATGTCGGCCGTGTATAATCCTGGCGCAGACGCCCCCCTCTAACGGCTCTATTTGTGGACCAGGCCAATTAAACTCGAGTCCAAGTGGAGTGGAGAGCGGCCGAGAGCGAAGCACCACGCGCCCGAAAACACAATCACTCCATAGCAGCGGGCAAGTATTTTTCGGGAAAGGAATCATGATGAGAATTAACAAGATATAAAGATCACGTTCACACTAATTTGATTTACAAAGTAGGATTCTGTACACGGCACCTTGCAGCCCCCTCCCCCGCTCTCTACCAGCAACCCAGGGCCTGACGGCGGCTGCATAGGCAGTCCCGTTACGCACCCGCGCGCGCCGGGTTGCCTACCGCACGCCTGGAGGCCAGCGCCCGGCGGCGACCCATAGGCAGTCCCGTTACGCACCC